CAGGCACAGCTTCCAGCTGCCCTGGAGTCACCTTGGCCACATGGACACAGCAGAGATCTGGGTGCAGAGGGCCCACTCTGCACGTGGGCAGTCACCCTAGAAACACTTGTGCGTGCTCCCTCCTGAGAGCACTGAAGGGGGCTCAGGCAGCTGGGCTCAGCACGGCCACGATGGAAGAGCCCATGCGCCCCTCACCCACGTGGCAGTGTGCGGCGGTGGTGGGCTCCCAGCAAGGAACACACACATAGGCTCCGCCAGCCTGCACGAGGGGCCGCTCACAGCAGCACACAGACTCTGGCTTCACAGATACAGAGGTGACAAGCACAGTGACAGGCCCTCAAACCACAGCAAAGGCAGACCCCTCCCGCAGGGACAGAGAGCAGACACCACATCTGGCCTGGGCACATCTGGGTGCCAGCACCCCAGCCAAGGCCGGGCTGGGACGAGAGGCCAGATGAGCTCTGTGAACTGCCGTCCTCCAGCCTGACGCAGGCACGGAGGCTCCCAGCTGACCCTGCACCCAGAGGCAGGTGGTACACCTGGCACAGGCACCAAGGAGCTCTGAGGGGAGCGGCCGTGGCAGCGACAGGTGTGCAGGCAGGAGTCACCTGTGTGAGCTCAGTGGGCCGAATCATGGTGCGCAGGTCTCATGGGAGAAGGCCTGATGGGGCCTGGAGTGGGGGGTGGGGCTGCGTGAAGAAAACTCCCGGGAGATGAACCCACCGCTGTGTGGCCGGGGGGGGGGGTCTTGGGTGGGGAGGCAGGAGTCAGCCATGCAGCAACTCAGGCAGAAATTAAAAAGGGCTCAGAGAAAAAGGCCGGGCAGGAGAAGACCCAGGTGCAGAGGACCTGACAACCAGGGTGTGGACGCCGGCCCCCAGGACACGCAATGCCAGGGACAAAGGACACCAGGCAGAACAGCGTGGCAAGCAACAGAATCAGGACCAGGGCGCAGCGGGAAAGGCAACCAAGGGGCCGTCTCCCCCAAGAGGTGGGCCCTGCCTCCAGGAAAGGAGAGTCGCTAGCCAAGGAGATAAGGCCATGGAAGAGCAGGGGCAGGAAGGGGGCGGGGGACGCCTGACCGTGGGGGCAGGACAAGAGAAGGACAGGACTCAGACCCGCAGGCCTGAGCAGGCCATCAGCGACCATCAAAGGCTGAAGGCACAGGCTTGGGACACAAGGGACCCCCAGAAGCATCAACGGAGGGGCACCTGTACCTCCAGGTGACGACCACCTCATGCCTCTCCCACCATGTGCTCCCTCCCCTCGGTGACTGCCTCCTGAAGTCACAGCATGAAGGGCAAGACTCCTGTCACCTGGTTCTCTCTGGGGACCTGTAACAGGGAACACTGAACTGACAGGCCAGGGGTTCCGCCCCCTGAAGGCGGCATTCTGGAAAGACCGCCCCCCCCAGAGACAGAGGAGCCCCCGCTGTGCCAGCCAGCCAAACCTAGATGTGTGACTGAGCAGAGGAGCCTCAGCAACCCACCCAGCCAAGGCCAAGGCCAGGGAGCAGAGCTGTCCCTCATGCCGAGCCCTGCTGGGGGACAGATCCGTGAGCAAGGCAAACGCTGTCACTGTCCTAACGCCTGGTTGGGGGTGGGCTATTGTACAGCTTTAGAAAACCAGAGCAGGTTGGGGACCTGGGAGGAATGGAGGGTCAGCGAGAGGATGGCAGTGGGGACCATGAGACGTACACGGTCCTTAAGGGCAGCGCACACTCCAGGGCTGCAAGCTGGTCAGACATGGGCAGCGTCTGAGTTAACACTGAGTCTGGGGCAGGACCCTTGGGTGTAAAGCACCCCCCCCGCTGATCCCTCCCCAAGAGACGAGGCAGTGGGGCCCAAACGAGGCCACCTGAAGGACGCTGGCTGTTTTGTGACATTCCCACTGGAGTGAGAGCTCCCCAGGGCGGAGGCCACACCGGCACCTGGCACCTGGCAGGTGCTCAGCAGACATCTTTTGAACAAATGGGTGCAACAGGGTTACAGGATGAGATCTTGGGAAAAGTGGCCCAGCAGATCACGCGCAGCCCACATGGGGCGCCCCACTTATCATGCCAAGAAAATCAGGGACGAGGGACACAGTGGGGACACGCTGAGACAACACACCTGGGAGAGAAGGGCAGAGGAGCAAAGCGGGGCTCCAGGTGGTTCACATTTAGGATTGAAAAAATGTAAGGACCCACGCTTCCCTTTCACACATCTAACTGAAAAAGGAAAACGGCGGCCTGCCTGGGTCTCACCGGGGTGAGCTCTCACTTCCCACTGCTACGGACAGACAGCTCAGGCTCCTGAGTGTGGGGGGTGGCACAGACATCCGGAGTGCTGCAGGAGTCAGAGAGCCAGCATTTTCTTAGACTCTGAAAGACTCTTCCATTGCTTCACCAAAGAAGGGCCTGCATTTGCATGTTTAGACATTAAGTCACAAGTCCCACCTGCGCTGTCACTGCATGCCACCGCACAGTTAACGGGGAAATACGGAAGCTGAATATAGTGTTAGCTGCCGTATCAGGGGCCGAGTTCTGGGGACAGTATGCCACGTGCCTGTGGGGAGCTGCCCTTCCCCCACATGTGGTTCTTGGGGGCTGCCAATGGGGGGCTGCCAATGGGTCAGAGACCCTGCAGCCTCCCCTGTGACCACAGCAGGGCCAATTAAAGCCATCGCCAGGAACGGAGACTCGGAAGCTGCCCAGGAGGTTCCCTCTGTGAGTGGGCACGCCGTGATGGGCGATAGCGTGGGTTCCTGACCCTGTGGCTACCTCCTGACACAAAGAGGATGCTGGCCTCCTGGGGAGGGCTGACCGGTAGAGAGGGCCCGCTCCCTCCTTCCCATCAAACACCTGTTTCTTAAAGCAACAGGACTCCATGGCTGTCCATTCTCCTGCCTAGTCCCAGCATCTGCCTGGTCCAGGATCTGTGAACTTAGGTGGACTCAGCACCGTGCCCACCACCCTTGGTCCAGAGTGGTTTCCAGACGACGCCAGGCTGGGCTCAGGGCCAGGGCCTTACAAACAAAGGGGGACCTGATACTCAGGGTGCAGGGGGCCCCTTGCCTCAGAACCCCCAGAGGGCATGTCTTGTGCATGCTCCTCTCCCTGCTCCAGCAACAACAGCACCAGCACCAGCTAGAAACAGGTATGGCTCCAAGTGGGTGCCACCCCTCCCCAGGAAGATCAGAATTCTCACTCTTCTACAGGGAGCTGATCTGCGGCCACCCTCCCCCTTGTCTCCTTAGGGGGACGCACCCCTAAGGACAGTCTTCTCTTAAACCTCAGTGATGAGTGGCTTTAATTTTCTTTATGTCATTCACACATTTTCCACCATGAGCATTTATAACCTGTATATAGCTGAAACAGTTATTTACTGCAACTTCAAAGGTGTCAGGCAGACTCCTTCCTCTAATCTCCATAAAGATGGAGAAGAATATTTTACGGTAGCCCTTAAATTATGGTACCTTTCTGAGCCACAGATCCCTTCGGAAGCCCTGAAAGCCGCAGAGCCTTTCCCACCGAAACTGCAAGCCCTCAAAAGCGGCAGGCGTTTTGCAGAAGCTCCCAGGAAGTTCACCTGCACCCCTCCCCCATCACTCATCGCTGTGATTCAGACCATGTGATGGGAACAGGGGCTGGTCCCGGGGACAGGATCATGGGATCCAGCTGAAGCCATCTCCAGCCTTGCTGTCGGTCTCACTGCCTGCTCCGCGCCACCCCATCTCCTGCCTGAGCCAAGCTCTCCCTCCTCAGCCCCATCACCCCATCCCCGCGTGTGACCCCAGGGCCCTGGGAGCTCAGGTCAGTGTTCGCTGATCACCTCCAACGGGCCAAGGGCTGGTCTGGGCTCTGCGAGCACCCCACCCTGCCACCCCGCCTCCCAGCTTGTCCACCTCTGAGAGGTCGGCCATGGGAAGCGCTGGGAGGCAGGCAGCGGGGGCCACGGGAACTGTGTCCTTTCAGCAGCGTCTGCCAGAGGCTCTGCAAGTGTCCAGTACATGTCGGGGGAGCCAGCCAATGAGCTCGCAGGTGGATGACAGCATAGCCGCTCATCCTAAAAGGTGTCTGAGCCTCGGAGCGCACAGACGCCTATCAAAATAGCAGTCACAGCACAGAAGCCCAGACGGATTTTCTCAGCCTTTGCAAGGCTTCGTTTACATAACCGAAACCACAGAAGAAAGGGCTTCTGGGGATGCTCCCTCAAAGGGGGCCCCGCTCCCCAGAGGTGTGTGGGAAACGTGCGGGCAGCAGCCGCCTCCTCCTGACCGCAGGTCACAGTCACACGCAATCAGAAAACAGAACACTGCTGGGGACGCTTCGGTTTGCATCCTCCAGGCCTGACACGCTCACCGGGACACAACGGTGACGTCTGTGCCCACCGAGAGGGCCGGGACCCCGCGGGGGGCAGCGCAGTCCTCGTCCCAGGACCACGGTCATTCCGGGCCCCCGGACACGAGCGGCCCTCTCTGCGGCCGAGGACCTCCTGCAAGTCGTGCAGCAGCACAGCGGCTTCACTGCAAACCCTTCAGCCCTAATTTCCCGCCGTCTCGCTGGCAGCGGCCCCGGCAGGCCCGGGCGCCGGTAAACAGCGCGCGTGGAGCTGGGCAAGGGGGGGCCGCGCCGCGCAGGGAGGTCGGGGCTGCGGGGGCACCGACGCGCAGGAAGGCGCCGCCGCTCGGGGCCGACACGGCGCGTCCCGCGCAGCCGTCCCTCCC